TTTTTTCTAGTTCTGTGAAATATAGTGTTGGAATTTCAATTGGCATTGCATTGAATGTATATAGCAGTTTTGGTAGTACGGCCATTTTCACTATGTTGATTCTTCCTATCCAGGAGCAGGGGATATCTTTCCATTTTTTATACCCTCTTCAATTTCTTTTTTCAGAGTGCTGTAGTTTTCAGTGTAGAGATCTTTTGTTTATTTTGTTAGATTGATTCCTAGATACTTCATTTTTTGGGATGCTATTGTAAAAGGAATTTTTTCCCTTATTTCTCTCTCCGTGTGTCTGTTATTTGTGTATAAGAAGGCTATTGATTTTTGGGTATTCATCCGCTGATAGATTCTCACTTAAACAAAGCTTAGGGCACAGTGAGTGTATATGAATCTGCTATTGCCATATAACAAGCAACCCTTCATGTTCCAGGATCACGAAGCAGCATGCATCTATTTCCCTGGTGCCTCCATAGTTTGGCCGGGGGCTGGCTGATCCAGCCGGTCTCCGCAGGGAGGCTCTAAGTGATAGACTGAGTCTGGCTCTGATGCACGCAGCTCTTATTCTCCTTGTGCCAGTGGGACATGTTGCTGGGCATGTTGTGCCATGGTGATGGCAGAAGCCCAAAGTACTCCTGTGGTTCTTAGACTTGGAATGAGAGCACCAGCACCTTCCGTCCCCATTCCATTGGTGTAAGTGTGTCACAGGCCAAGTCCAAAGCCCAGAGGTGAAGGCTGAAAAGTCACATGGCCACGGTTTCAGAGACAGAGGGAGATAAAGACTCGGGGACAGACATTGATCCAGTCATCCTGCAAATACATAATTAGGGATGATGCGTGTTTCAAAGGGAAACACTTGAATGTGGTAGGGATCGGACGTGTCCGTAGCACCGGCAACTTTCCTGAGGAAGTGGTGTTTAATACAGGACTCAAAGAACAACAGTGGAAAAGGATACCAGGAGAAGGAAGGCTCACATGCAAAGGCCTTGGGCAGGAGGAAGCAGCAGGGGAAGGTGTGAGATGAAGTTGGAGCATCGGGCAGCCCTAGAGACCCCGCCACAGGTTTAACATTCAACAAGAGCAGTTCATGCCTTGAACGTGAAGAGCGTTGGCCTCTCCTCAGGGTGTGAGTTTCCCAGTAACACACCCCATCTCCTTGCACATTCCTGCTCATCTCAGGACACCTCAGGGAGGATCAGGGAGGGATATCGTCCCCAGAAAGCTCTGCATCTGCCTTGATGCGGTGGACGGAGCAAATATTCGCATCCCCACTTCATACGCTGGCATATGTGATGGCTTCAGGAGGTGGGGCCCTAGATCACAGGTGGGTTACAGGGTGGAGATCTCAGGAAGGGCAGTAGTGCCCTTGTAGGAGGGACTTCAGAGAGATATCTCCTCCTCTTTCAACCTTGCAAGAATACATCGAGAAGGGGGCCCTCTATAGCCCAGAAGGGGGCACTCACTAGAACATGACTATGATGGCTCTCCAACTCCAGAACTGGGAGAAATAAGATTTCTGTTCTTGTTTAGGGATCAACCCCACCCCTGACCTTTTGTTATTGAAGCCTGAACTGACCAAGAGACTGGGGAATTTAGTTGCTGCATCTGGCTCTCCCTGGGCTGGTTATGAATGTCTTCTATGACCATGCAGGACCATCGTTTCAGTGGTTTGTCTGCACTGCAGAGCCTTGGCCTTTTGGAAGGCCATTCTGTATTCTTCTCCACCCTCCTGAGCCTGGTGACAGACCTTGGCCCAACTCAATGGCCTAGGAAATGTTTATTGCCTTGGAGATCAAATAAGATCAAGGGTGCAGGATCACTCGTACATGTGGGACATCATCATGTCGCTGTCACCCGCATCTCCAGGTGCTGTTTTCCCTGGATGGGAGGGGCACCCTCATTTATAAGACACAGAGCTGGCGTAGTGGACACAGAGGTGGCAAAGTTAAAGCCTTTCAGTGCCAGGAAGGTAAAAAACAAATGGAATGCGGGCCAGGGATTTAGCTCAGTGGTTCCGCTCCTGCCTCGCAAGTGCAAGGACCTGAGTTGGATTCCCCAGTACCAAAAAAACCCCAAAAAACAAAAACAAAAAACCCCCAAAACAAAAGGAATGCAACAGGACTGGTGTGAAGAGGCAGGAGTGGAGGGGAGTGGGCTGGCCTGGGCCTGGTGGGCTCCGTTACGGGGGGAGCAGTCTCCCCTCAGCTGCAGCCAATGCCCATATAGTGTTGCAACCCAAAGTTACCAGATCTGAGTGTTTTCAACAGAAGTTAAAAATCTAGATGTTAATAAATGAAATGTAGTCAATTTCATTAAAAATTAAAAAATGCACTGAAGATCAAATAAAACATAGCTGGAGGCGTTTTGGGCCTGTGACCTTAAGTGGATGTCCCGGGAGCCAACAGACTATGCCCTGGGGCCTGATGAAACCAAGTCCAGATGCCAGCTCCTGTTTCCCCTCTGCTTTGGTACCTTGAGGATGCAACCTGAGGTCCCCGGTCCTGCCCACTTTTTCACAGTCCAGCAGGGAGCATGCGGTACTGAGTTACAGCGCAGCATTTGTGGAATGGGGCCTGCTGTGTAGTAAGCACTCAGAAGCGAGGGGCATTATTATCTTGTCCTTTTCTGTGAGTACCCAGTGCATAATTAGTGGTGATGCATAATGAATGCATGCATCCTGGGGAGTTTGGGCACATGCACATTGCATCTTAGTCCTTTTTGTTTTCCCTTCTCTCTTTCGTCTCCCCCCACTCCTAGATCCTCTTCCCATCTGCAAAAGGTCTACCTCCATATTTCCTATCATCTTTTATTTTGCTCTTTAAATTATTTACACTTTGGGTTTCTCACATAATCTATTTAACCTTCAGTCTCACTAGGTAGTTGAGACTGACCTGGAACTCACTATGTAGCCCAGGCTGGTCTCGAACTCACAGCGATCCTCCTGCCTCAGCCTCCTGAGTGCTGGGATTATAGGTGTGTGCCACCATGCACGGCCCACTTAGATTTATCTTTAATGGGCAGAACAGTGCTCCACTGTGCTTTCTCTTTATTCATCCACCCCGTGATGGGCATACAAGCTTCTTTTAAGATTCAGCCACTGTGTGTTGCGCTGGTATAAACATGGGTAGAAGGCATCATCAGCATTGTTGCTGTGGGTTATTTTTAACCACTCACAGTCAGCTTGGGGAATGAGTGTGTGTTTAGGAAGTGCCGTGTGGAGCCGAGGGAGAGCAGGTGGGGTTGTGGTCAAGTTACTTTAGTCTTCTAAAGGCTTTGGTGCTGAGGTGACAGTTCTCTGTTGTGGCCATCTCTGGGGCCAAGGGAAAATGCGAGAGACCCTTGGGCAGAGGCATAAGTGGCCTGCCTTACCTGGAAGGGGTAAGCAGCTGCTGAACAAGTGTTGAGCCCGTTCCTTCCTTCACTCATTCATTTCCAGAGTCCCTGATGGGTGCTGCCTTTTAAAGAAAATGCCAGGTGTCAAGGGGAGAAAGCAGCAGTTACCGCCCCAAAGGGCTTACAGTGAGGCCAGAAGTGGGGCAAGAGAACAACAGGAAGATAGGTTGTGCCTGTGTCTGTGCCACTCGGTGGTGATGTTGGCTGAGTCACTTGGCCTTTCCTTGTATCACATTTCTCACCTGCAGGGCGGGGGCTGTTGAAGCACCCACCTCCTGGGGTTCTCACAAGCAGTCACTCTACTAGGTCTGCACAGGTGAAGGTGCTCAGAGGCCTGTGTCAGGGAGGGCCTAGGGGTAGAGCTGATGCCCTGGTGGGTTCCCCGGGAGCAGAGTCTGTGATGAGACTTGAGAGTAAGGGATTTATTGAAGGAAGTTCTCCCAACTAGAAAGGGCCAAGGAAGAGCGCAGTTTTAGACGAATTCTGCCAAGGGATTTTTGTGTAAGTCATACTTCCAAGTTGTCTTGACCACCAGGGGCTGGAAGTTTCCTGAAACTCATAGCTTCCTGAGCCAGCAGAGCAGCCCAGATGTGGGCCACAGGCAGCAGAAGCACCTGAAACTGCGGGGGGGGGGAGGAGGAGGAAGCGTTCAGAGGCTCTGGGCGGACCCTGGATGTGGATGGAGCCTCCCCAGGGTCATCCGCAAGAGACCCTGAACAGGAAGGGTGTGGCCGGAAGTCAGTGCAGTGATTCAGAAGATGCAAAAGACGTGGGAAAGTCAGACCTGTGGTATTATCTTAGCACCACCACCATCTGTGAGCCACGATAATTATCAGTGCAGCGGGAAGGTTTATGGAGCACACACCGCTGAGAGTTGGATTCCATCCCTCCCTCACCCAGTCCCTATGCTAACCTCATCCTGACTACCTAGAGATGGAGATGAGTATTTAGGAGATAATGAAGGTTAAATGAGGTCCTAGGGGTGGGGTTTCGGTCAAATAGGATTCGTGTTCTTATAATGATCACCTGAGAGCTCAGTCTCTCCCAAGCGAAGTCACGTGGAGAAGGTGGTTAACTGAAGCCAGGAGGAGAGATGTCACCAGGAGCTGAACCCTGCTGGACCTTTGATCTTGGGCTTTCCCATCTCTAAAGCTGTAAGAAGGTACGTTTCTGTTATTTAAGCTGCGCTTACCCTGGTACTTAGTCAAGGCTGCATGGGCTGAGGGTGACAGCCGCTATGCCAGGCACTGTTCCTGTCACTGTGTGCCTCATCTTGCTCAACCTTACAGCAGAGCCAGAATGCCAATGCTGTTAGCATCCTTGTTTCACAGTTTAGAAATGTAGAAACAGTGGCTACTGCGTTTCACACACTTGTTATGTGTGTGGTACTGAGTTTAGCACTTTGCATTTATTTTCTCATTGAAGGCTCTGAGCGTACCTACAGATATGACCATTTATACTCATTTACAGAGTTAAATTAGCTTGCTCAAGACCACAGGGCTCGGGGGGTGGAGCTAGGATTCAAATGCAGGGCGTTCTAATCCTTGCCACCTATGTGGGCAAGACAGTTGGCCCAGTTATTCCAGGGCGTGTCCTGTCCTGCCGGCTCGTTTCTACAAGGTTTCTCCTTCCCCAGAAAGAGGGTGATGAATTTCTTCATCCTCCCTCTCCAGGGAATGGCGGGAGCGTCTTGGAACTGAGAAGGGTCTTGCCGGCAGTTCAGAGCTACCTTTCCTAGCTGCACAGCAGCCCCTGAAAGCCTCTGGGGAAGGGATCATTACCTCTGTCCTTTGCGCTTGTGGAGTGTCAAGGGGAAAATTCACTTCCTCTCACCCTCTTCTTCACAGCCTCTACAAAGAAAAGCGTTTCTTCTTTAGTAGTCAAAACAGATGAACACGTAAAGCTCCGAATGGAAGATTGTTAAAGCAATCCACCAGTTGCCTTCCAGCTCACAATCTAAGTAGCCAAACAAAGAGGCCCCTCTGAGTCTGCACCGGAGAAGCCCCAGGTCTGGGAAGTCGTGTACTGGTTGAAGACAGTCGGTCAGAGTAGAGGGAGGAGCCCGAGTCTCATCTACTGGAGAGAGGAGAGATTCCAGCCGTGGCTTTAGCGCGGGCCTCCGTAATCACTTCCGCCGCACCTCCGGCCCGGACACTGAAAATGTAATCACCGGGCTCTCAGGGCACACGGTCTGGGTGGCTGTCACCCAGTTGCTGGGTATAGAAGATACCCTCCCAGAGTCTTCCAGGGAGAGGGAGATGAGATTAGTTTTCTTCAGAGCTACTGCAAGCCCCAGGTAGCCGGCCTCTCCGCACCACCATAATGGGTCAGAGAGGAAAACACAGACTGAAAATAGCCTGAGATTGTGTGAGGAGGCCTCTCACATGCAGAGAGCTGCAGCGACGCTGCGTGTTTCGTGAGGTCTTCACTGAGGTGGGGCTCCATCCCTCAGAGCAGCAGGAGGCAGAGCTGCCCTTGAGGACTTCGAAGCTGCCTCATTCACGTTGGCTCTTCATTCAGCAAAGACACCGAGCGTCTGTTAGGCGGCAGGCATTGTACTTGGCCCTGGGCTGGGAGGTGAACAAACCCAGGGAGTCCTGCTCCTGCGAGCTTCTATTCCAGAGTTAGAGAGAGCCAACACTAGAGAAAAATTAACCAGGCCATTGTGGGAAGTGAGGAGAGTGTTACACAGGAGAAGATTATGCTGTGTACCAGCGTAGTCGGTTGCTGTCATGTTACCCAGGTCTCTCCCTTCAGGGCTGAGGAATTCAGCAGCAGCTTTGGGCTCTCTGGGCTTGGGACCCAGGACAAGGTACGGCCACCAGGGGACACAGCAGGAGTCCCAAGGAGTTTCAAGTCCTGGCTACCACTTCAGGCTCCTGTTTGGAGGTTGAGGGCAGTGGGGACAAGGAGAATATATTTGTTAACCATGGTGGCCTTTCTTACCGGCTCTGTCTGTAAGTGAGTAAACCCTGTAGCCATGGCCTGGGAATGGTGTGGTGACTGAGGCCCAGGCCCTGCGGGCAAGTGCTCCACCTTGCTGGCTGTTACAGATTACATCTAGATGTCTCCCTAAGCCTTGTGCAATCATAGGCATGTCTTTTGGGACTGAGTGGATCACGGGGCACGGTACCCCTTGATGGATTAAAGTATCCACGAATCGGTAGCTACATGTGCTCTTCGAAGGTGGGGTCTGGTCGGAAGAGGCAGTCCCTGGGGGCCTGGCCTGGGAGGGTGCATCTCCCTCCTGGCTTCTCACTTTCCTCTGTGTCCTGGGTTCCACTCGGGGAGCGGCTTTTCCTCCACTGTGCCCCTTTGCTGTGCTGTTTCTTCTTTAGAGCCAGCTGACCGTGGGCTGTGGTGTGAGCCAAAATGAACCTCTGCTCCTTAAATTGTGGTGTTGGGTATTTGGTTTCAGGTGGAGGAAAATAGCTAAGGCACAGGTGGGGCCCAAAGCCTCTCTGCATGCTCATCCAAGGTGAGGGGAATCTGAAATGGGCAGGAGAGGGTGACAACGGTATTGACCGCAGCCCAGAGGGTGGCTGCAGCCCTGGGGTTGGGTTGTTCTACTAATCTTCCTCTTGTAAATTTGTCCAGAGAAGTGAGCTCCACCAGAATCCCAGAGGAGTTGCTCGTGGGATCAATTAAACACAAAGCATAGGCAGGCATGGTGGCGCACGCCTTTAATCCCAGCACTCAGGAGGCTGAGGCAGGAGGATCACTGTGAGTTCGAGACCAGCCTGGGCTATGTAGTGAGTTCCAGGTCAGTCTCAACTACATAGTGAGACCCTGTCTCAAAAAAAACCAAATAAAACCCCCCAAACCTCCACAAAGCATAGATCTGAGTAGTGCAAGGGATGAGTGTGGCAGATGCCATCAGGTGCCACCAGAATGTCCTCCTGGCAGACATGGGCATTGGTCTTGACTGCTGAGGGTTCTGAGGCTGACGGTTCTCCTCTCAGCTGAGTCGCTGTCTGGAAGCCGCCCGCAGGGAAAGTCAGTGGCCTTGGCTGAGATCTCCCTTCCACATGGCAGGCAGCTCCTCCTGCCTCCCCGCCAGGCCTTCTTGGTGGGACCAGCAGAGGCCCCGGCTGTGACAGTGTCTCCTCTGCTCATTCTGCTTCCTCCACCCCACCCTGCTCACCAGCACCCTGCACTGGTCCTGAACTTCCTGCAAACAGATGTGCACCTTGGAGTCTGGGTCTGGAGGATGCACCACCTTGGTTTGCGTGGCTCTCTCAGGATTCACATGTTAGAAACTAAGTCCCCAGTGCATCTGCCATGTTTTTTTTTTTTTTTTTTTTTTTTTTTTGGTACCGGGATTGAACTCGGGTCCTTGAGCTTGCGAGGCAAGCGGAGGAACCACTGAGCTAAATCCCCAGCCCCTGCCATGTTGTCATAGAGAAGCAGATCCTTGCCAGATGAAGACCCTTGACTTTGATCTTCTCAGCTTTCAGAGCCATGAGCCGAGCAACACAAGGTAGACTCAGGCAACACCCTAAACCATGGGGTGGATCATGGAAGGGAAACGACTTCCTACCATGTGGCCCGAGATGACCTCTCTGATGGGAACATTGGAGCCGAGTCCAGGAACACAGGATGGCTTCAGTTTTGCTAGTGTCCTTGGGGAAAGTGTCTCAGAAACAGCACATAATGAGTACAAAGTTGGTGAGCTGGGATAAGTTCCATGTATTCAAGGAATGGAAAGGTGGCCTGTGGAGCAGTTGTGGTGGCCCGTGCCTGTGATCTCCGGACTCTGGGAGGCTGAGGCAGGAGGATTCCAAGTTTGAGCCCAGCCTGCACAACTTATTAACTTAGCAAGACAGTCTCAGAATTAGGAAAAAAAAATGTTCAGGGATGTAGCTCAGTACAAAGGCCCTGGATTCAATTCCTAATACTGAGAAAAATAAAAAAAAAAATAAAAAAGAAGGCCTTGAGGCAAAAGAACATGAGGAAAATGGAATAAAAGAGGGGCCAGGCATGTCTGTCAAAGATTTATAGGCTCTGATGAGAAGCATGGATTTTATTCTATGGGTGATGAGGGGTCATCAAAGAGGATCGAGTCCAGGAACGATTCTATTTATATTTTACAAAGATCACCCCACTACTGGGAATTCAATCTCAGCAAGACAAGCAGTGACACAGAAAACCAGAGAAAAGCCACCAAGCTGTATGATTCTGGATGTACAAAGGTGCTGCATCAGCCTCTTTGACATGGGTGTGTCTCACCAACACTGCAGAGTCATTTAGCAAATACGATAGTTGAGCACCTACTATATACCAGACACTGTACTAGGCTCTGAGATACAGTAAGATAAAATGATATCCTGAACCTTTAAGTGGACAAACCACAACAAAGTGCCTAGTCGAGTAGCACAAATCTTAACTGGATCACTGGGAACTACATAGAAGGGAAAGAGTCCCCAGAGGAGAGAGTGATCGGGTTCGATGGGCCAGTAGGTAGGAAGCAGCCATTCTGGACAGAGGAAACCGAAAGAACCACAGTATGGAGGCAGAAGTGAGCTCGGGAACACTGTTGATTGATGTCATCTATGGACTGCTCACTAAGACAGGCCGCACGCTGAGGCATTTCTTTCACTGTGATCTTCACAGATGCCAGAAAAAGCAAACATCTCTTTTCTCTTATTTTCCCAGCCAGGAAACTGAGGCTCACAGAAATGCCTGGTCTGAGGTCACATGTCTCAGAAGAGGTGGCTCTGGGTTTCCTTTCATGTCTGTCTGACTCAGAAACTGAATCCAGTGCCCTACAAGGGAACTTTCCCACAGGAGGGGGACAGAGGACAGTGACCCTGGTTACCAAGCTCAGTTTCCTGTCCTCCCCCAGGACAGGCTCGGGGCAGGGCGTGGGGTCAGCTGTGTGACACAGGTCTTGGCTCGGTCTTCACTTCTGTCTCATGAGGCTTTCTTCACCACTTCCACGTCTCTCGTGTGGCAGAGACAGTTAAATGCTTGCCAAGCTCCGGTTTCTTACTGCTGTGTGACCTGGTAAATAACCCACTGGCATCCTTTATTGTTATATGGCTGAGCCATGCCAATGAAGTGTGAGGGGGAGTGGGGTGGTCTGGTGCTTATAAATCTCCTTTTCACATTTGTCTTCCCTTTCTGTGGTCTTGGAAACTATGCACTGAAGACATAGGGAAGGCAGAGTCCCTTCCCCACAAAGCTTGTCCAGGCAATGGTTTTGTTGCTGGAGGCTCATTTTCCTTTTCAGTCTATCTGCCCAGTGACCCATTGGTTCCCAATAAAAGACTTGGCTTTTAAAGCCCTGAAGAGGAATTGTGCAATGCATGCTGTCTCTCCCTGGAAGGAGAACATTCCTCAACTGTCTTAACCTAGCTGGGAGGAAGAAATAAAATGCTGTGGTGTTGAAGCACTATAGGACTGGGTCTGCCTATTTCTGCAGCCCACCCTGCACTAACTCAGACATCTACTTTCTTTTTCTTTGAGTTTTTGGAGACAGAGTCTCACTATGTAGTCCAGGCTGACTGCAAACTCGCAACAATCTTGTGTCGGTTTCCTGAGAGCTGGGGTTACAGAGATGTGCAACCATGCTTGGCTACAGATACCCACTTTCTGCCATGGCTCTGCAGGCTCTAAGTTGTCTTTAAAACATCACCCTGGCCTTTGCTTAAGATTTCTGGAATCCAGGGCTTTAGCTCAGTGGTGCTACTACCTGCCTTGCAAGTGCAAAGTCCTTAGTTCGATCCCTGGTACAAAAAAATTTAAAAAAGATTTTTGGCAAAGAAAAGGGTAATTTGGACCATTTCAATAAAAATAAGATAAACCATGGAGTTACAGATAAAAATCAAAGAGGGAATGAATGGCAACTTCACATTGCTCTTGTTATAGTGGTGATCGGATACCTGGCAATGGAGAGATTAAATAAAGGAGAAAGACAGTGGTAGACGAGTGGCCTAGCATCCGTCAGGGAGCTGAGTTCAACCCCCAGAATGAAGGAGCAGACGGACAAACAAATGAGAAATAGAGGAAACAGGGGCAAGAGAAACAGAAGGAACTAGAAGTACGAGAGGGAAGAAAAGAAAGAGACTACAGAAGTGAGAAGACATGGAAGAGAGAGGCTGCACAGGACAATAGCATATAAAAAGCCTGAACTGGCAACATTAAAATTGAGCCATGCCCACTGCTCTGAGAAGCCAAGATTTCCATAGCATGACTTCCTCAGGTATTTGTCATACTCAACCCAATATACATTTGATTTTTCAAGATGGGGTCTATCTGTGCAGCTCAGGCTGGCACCATACTATTGGCAATCCTCCTGCCTCAGCCTCCTGAGTGCTAGGATGACAAGTGTGCACCATCAGGCTTACCTCAACCTGTTATTATTATTATTATTATTATTATTATTATTATTATTATTATTATTATTTTATTATTTTATTGTTTTTGTTTTCTGAAACAGGATCTTACTCTATGGATCAGGTTGGTCTTGAGTTCATGATGCAGTCCAGGGTAGCCTCAAACCTGGGGTAATCCACCTGCCTCAGCCTCCTGAATGTTGGGATTACAGGCATGTGCCTCCATGCCTGGCTTCAACCCATATTAAAAGGTACTTATGTCCTGGCCTGGGATGGGGTGTAGTTACCCTACCCACTCTGTCTCCTTTTCTCTCCTGCAGCACTCTGGATATGGTATTGTGATAGCTACCTTAGGCTCTGTGTCAAACCTGAGTTTAGTTCCCAACGAAACTCTTAAGAAACAGCATTTCTTCTTGACAGATAGAAAAGAAGAGAGATAAAGGTTATACCACCAGGTGACAACCTCAGTTTCCATACCTTTACATTTGGATTGCAGTGGCTGAGTGCTAATTAGGCTTCCTTGGTTTTTTGCTGTATACTGCCCGCTTTTTTTCCCCCTCGACTAATTTGTTCGAAATGGGTTCTAAAGAAAGCCAGAATGATCCTCAGGATTGGTAATGGGGTGGTAATGGGGAAGTTAGGAGAAATGCGCCCTAGGAGCACTTCTGCTCTTTCAGGCCGTTTAGAAGCGAGGGTGTTTGTCAGGACCACGGACAGCGGCAGGCCGACCGGGACGCCCACACAGGAGGCCACCAAGGTGGTACAATAGAGGAGCCCTAGAAATTCCTAGATAGTTGGTGCCTACCGCCTGCCACCTTATTTAATTATGCAATAATCAGCAACCTTTACATTTTAATTAGGGACTCACTATAATGAAGCCATCCTGCCTGGGCTCGGGGCAGGCCTGCTCGTTCTTTTGTCACTCCGGAAGGGTCTTCGGCACTAATTGGCTGCTTGGTAGCTCGATCGTGACAGGACAAGGCAGGTAGCGATCCCTTGCTTTCCTGCTCATGCAAGCTTTGGTCTCTTTGCCCTCCTCCTCTTTGATTTGCCTAATTAGTGCTAATAATTTAAAAGCTGCGTGGCCCGCTTTGGCTCCTGCTGTCGACGGCAGACAGTGCCATTCCATTAGCAGATATTAAATAGCACTAATCTGTGGTGACACACGGTTGGAGCCGGCTCGCACACGTTCTGGCCTGAGACCCCAGGGCTGCCGTTAGCACGTGGGCGCGCGCACGCGCGCGCACGCACACACACACACACACACACACACACAATCACCCCATTCACTTGATTCCTAGAGAAAATTCATTCGCAACAGTAGCAGCTTAAAGCACTGTGTCTTAATAACTGTTTGAGGTCCCCTTTATTGTGGGCTGGCATTGAAAACCACATGATTTATTCCACATTTCAGGATTTTAATGATTAATTCATGAATGTATCTGTAAGAATGCCAAGGTCTCCGAAATAATGAAAGCCTTTTTTTCCCCCTAAAGTTGTTTGTTTCCATTTCAAATCAAAGCAATCTGTCTGGAACATTCAGCTCTCTCCCCCGTCCCTCCATTCACCCTGAGAAGGAAAAAAAAAAAAAAAAAAACG